GGGACAGGCTGACTGTCCCGATCTCATTCCGGCACTTGTTTCGGGGGCTGGACAAGAACACACCCCTCAGGCTGAACCCCTGACCCGGCTCAGATGAACTCCTCCCCGTTGTGTCTTTCAGCCTCCACCCAGTTGCTCACCAGTCCAGGACTCTGAACTTGATGTAGCTGGAGAGGCAGGGCAGCTGCAAGGGGCAAGCGAGAGCAGCGGTGGGTTCCCGCCCGGATGGCCTGGTCCCCGCCGAGACTGAGAGCCCTTGGGAAGTCCTGGGTCTGGGTCAAGGCCTGGCTCAGTTACCAGTGAGCCTTTAAGCACAGTCCAGAGGGACTGACCATGGGAGCTTATGGACCTTAGGCTCTGGGCCCCTCACTGCAGGGCCCTTTGCAAGGCCCCAGGAGAGGCTGGGATTGTATCCCATGATCGTTTTGTATTTTCATTCTTAAAATAGCCCCATCATTGCATAAGATTCGGGACCAGGGAAACCTGGGTCCACCTGACTGTGGACCCCACCATCTCAGTCCTCATACAGCCCTGCAGTCTGGAGGCACATTTACCAGACCATCTCATGGGGAGGTCGTGGGCCTGGAATGTCTTTCTTACATTTAGCATTAAACAGTGGGACATCTATCTCCTCAAAGAGTAAGTCATAGTAGCTGCCACTCCAGGAAGGGTTTCTGTTGTCCACTGGCCTGTCCTGAATGATCTACGTGGATCACTGAGTGACCCCTCCCAAGGACCCCACAAGCAAGGTGCTATGATTATTCCCATCTTCAGACAGGAAAACTGAGGCAAAAAGAGGCTGAGTTCCTGAAGTTCTCAGGGCACATGCAGAGCTCCGACCCACTCAGCCCAGTGAGACCTGTGGTCATCTGGATGTACAGCCAGGGAGTAAGGCCCAGAGAGGGACTTGCTTGAGGTCACACAGTAAGGGATAGAGTCAGGATTAGAACCCAAGCTTCTGAGTCTTATCTTTGCTCTGTCTTCAATTATAAGGACAAAAAAATCCATGTAGAAAACAGAGCTGCTGGGGTTGAGGCCCCAAATCCGCCCCACTGGGGCCTCTTCTTCACTCACAGCTGTCCCTGGTATGCAGCTGGGCTGCGACTGGCCCCCTCCCTCCACCCCGTTCTCCACTCTCCTGGTCCTCCCCTTGCCGTGGAAGCTGAGGGTCGTGGAAGTGGGGAACGAAAAGGCTTTCCAGCTGTGCAGCTGGTTAGTGAGCTATGAGGAGATGGCCCAGGTTAAGGAAGGATGCCAGAAGTGGCGTGATGGGAGCCACTGGGCATCTAGGTCTTCCAACATTACACATCCTCCAAATTCGAATTTATGGCGGAACCATCTTTTCATCCATCCTTGAGAAGTCTCCTCCCTTTCCCAGTTCTGTGCTTCAACTGCCCTCCTTTACCGGGGGACCTTGGACTATTAACTGGCACAGACCATTTTCAGCTGTGCGCCCCCTGCAGGCTGCCTTGCTGGGGCCCTGACCAGCTGGTCTCAGATGCCACTTCAGCATGAGGTTCATATCTCCCTGCAGCATTTCTAGGGGGGTGGTGGCCATCAGGCCTGCACCAGATGGCCCCAGTCCTGGAGACTGTGTCTGCGGGAAGTGGGTGAGGGTCCAGGGGGTGTTTGGACATCTTCAAACGTCAGAAGCCCTCTTTCAGGAATGAAGGGGGCCTGGCCTGTGCCACTGGTTTCTGGGCCTGAAGGAAGCTGGACATGAGGGAGGACTTCCAAGGCCCTGAGCATCCACATAGCATCTGAGGATTCCGGCCATGAGCCTCATCATGGCCAGAACAGGGGGAAGGGGGCAAAGGTGAGGGATGGACTAGGCCCTCTCTAAAATCTCTTCCTACTTTAAGAGACTATAGAATCATCCAAAAGGGTGGGGATTATGAAAAATGGTTTAAAATGATGACTCACCAAGAAGCAGACTAATTTCACATCACACAGGTGGGAGGTATAGGGAAAGCAAAACGCTCTCTGCCACACAAAGCTGCCCCCTCGCACTCAGGAGAGCGCTCCAGTTCCCTCACACATCGCTTGCTCTTATTTTACCCATAGCCCTTAGGAGCCTGGTGTGGAGTTAAAAGGCAATCAAGGCTCTCCCAGGCCTTCGAGGAAACTGGCACCCACACCGCTGACAGGTGACCGAGAAGGACTGAAAGGCTAGAAAAAGCAGACTGCAGAACCCCACAGAGAGGAGCATGCTGGAGCATTTCGTGTAGCAGCAGATTGCCCCGCACTTCGTGTAGCCCAGTGTAGAACTAGGCTCCCACAGGGCCTCTAAGCCACTAAGAAGGAGCTATAATTATATTCAGGGCAGTTTGCCTAGAAGATAGGAAAATGCATAACAATTTAGAATAAATCTTTAAAGTGATTTTTTTTTAATAGGATGTGGAAAGGGCGCATTTAAGTTCTCTGCTATGTCCTGGGCTTTCTCGTGCTCCCTATCAGGCAGACCCCCACCACCACCACTGCTGTGCTCCGTGGCCCCTGCATTCCATCCATCCTGCCCCCAACAAGCACCCAAACTCCCCTTCCATTTGTAGGGCAGGGGAAAGAGAGCAGGTGTGAGGGAACAGTGATACCTGAATCCGGAAGGTCAGGATCTGGTTCCATATCGGGCTCTCGGTTTCGGTCTGCACGTGTGTCTTGAGCTGAGAACACCCAAAAGCAGTGTCAGTGCCAGCCTGTCTCCTCCTCCCTCCTCCCTCCACTGGCCTCACCTCCAGGCCCTTCTGGTCCAGCCCACAGATGGACGCTATCTGCAGTGCAGGGCTGGTCATGGGAATCCCCGGTTTAAAGACCCTTTGACAATTTCTCACCAGCTACAACTCCAGCCCTTTGAGCATGCCATAACATTTCTCCTTAAGTCAGCTTTCAATGGACTTAATTTTTAAATAGATCCAGGGTTACTAACCTTATTACAGAGAGTGCAAACACAGAGATTTTGTTCAATAAACTCTAAGACCCCAACAGGAAAGTCAGCAGCAATGATGCTGTGGCATCAGCCCATGCTGGCAAACCCCTTTCCAAAGCATCACTTGACTTCATTTTTAAATCTAGCCTTATTCTAAGCAATCATGTCGGTGAAGTCAAGGGTTAATTGGTCTGGTTAAACTTTTTAATACACTCTAGGAAAAACACAGAAGTATTAAAATTTTTGAAAAATGTGTGCCACTACTACCAACAGCATCTCACTTACCTTCCCACCACTCGATGGGAAGTAAAAACTCAGTGTGGAGGTTTTAAAATATGTCCAAAAATCCTTTAGTGCTCTCCCCCTCAAAAGATTTACACTAATATCCCTCCCCTTATGTATGGGCTGGATTTACTGACTTCTAATAGGTAGAAGATGGTGGAAATGATGGTTTCTGAACTCTGAGACAAATCTATTTACCTTTAACCCAACATTCCTCAAATTTGAACATAGGATCCTTTCTTTGCACATAACATCCATCAGTGTACTTTGGGAAATGCTACTGTGTGTTTATAAAGGTTCATGGAATGTCAGCAACTCTCTTGCCCAGAACCTTCAATTTATAGATGAAGAAACTGAGACCCAAAGGGGACAGTGACACTTCCAGTGTTGTACCATTTGCAGGCATGTTGTTTCTTTCATTCACTCATCCATGCATTTGTATGTTTGGCTTTTGGTGGGCATCTTGTCCATACAAGGCACTGGGCCCAGCTCTGGGATCCAGGCTGACTAAGCCAAGGCCTCCCACCTTCACAGAGTCCCTGGTCCAATGGGATCACATCACTCATAAATGGAGGAGTTGGAATACGATTCCTGGGGTCCTGGCCACCAACCCAGTCTTTTCCTCCACATTAATCTTTTCTAGGTAGGTGCCAGTTTCTCTAAGCCTCAGACCATGTTTATGCTTACATTTTCTCCGATTAGTTCCACCTCCAACATAGGACTCACTGAGCGATTCGTCGCTATGAACAAGAAGTTGAAAGATTTCTGAGAGAGCAGCATCCCCCCCCACCCCCAGGAGGAGGAAATGGAGAGATGACAGACAACTTAAAACCCTCCCCCATACTTTGGTTTGGTGCCCCCTGGGCAGACCCCTCCCACTTCCATTCTGTCTCTCTGCTGCCGTGTGTCATGTCACACAGTGGCAGCAGGGATGGGGGTTGGCATAGGGAGCCTTGAGTCTGCACCCAGGCATCAAAGACAGGTCAGGGGAACATGGCCCATTTTAAAGGGGCCTTCATGAAATATTCTTGGTAGATTTCAGTCTCACCCTCTTCCCCCACCCCAAATCTTGGTGTCAAAATGGAACTGGGATGCCCCATGAGAACCCAGGGAACCTCAGGGTTGCTCCCTCCCCCACCGTGACTGACCGAGGTGGAGATCCTCCGCGCAGTAGATGAAGAACTGAAGGTAGGCCATGTTGATCGGCACCACCGTTGACTTGAAGATCTGAGTATCAGTGTCGTCACCCCCATAGGTCAGCCTTTGATCTACCTGGAGAGAGAGACCAGAGAGCTGATAGGGTCAGAGGCATAGGGAGGTCATGGCCAAGGCCACCAGCTTTGGCTTCCCCAACCCTCCACTTGGTTGGGGTGGGGGTGGCCCACCCTGAAGTGACACAGTGGACAAATGAAAGCAAGTGAAGAGCAGTAGCCACTTGGAGGGTCCAGGGGTGTCCCGTGAAAGCAGCCAGGGTCAGAAATGTTCCTGGGGTATTGAGGGGGCAGCCTCACCGGGGCCTGGTCTCCCACTCCAAGGGCACAGATGGTGACTTTCAGGTAGCCTCTCACACCACTGTTGGGTTCATTTGGCTGGCAGAGGCCTAACCATTTCTTCAGGAGTGTGTGACCTGGAGAGACAGAGAGCCCATAGGAGTCTCTGTCTCCAGTCTCCACCCTTCTTCCCTGAAACCAGTCTTCCTGTGGGAGAGGGATTTGGAAACGTGTCTCATATATGCTAGTTCCCATCCAGCAGCAGAGGAAACTGGGAGTCCCTCCTACCATTAAGCAAAGGTTGCCAGCTATTGCCTTTAGGAAGTAGGGACCCCTCTTTCCCATCCAGGGAACCTACAGTTGTTATTGTCCTGGTCCTAGAGAGGCAAGCACTTCCCCCAACCTTAAGCCCCAACCTCAACCTGGTACATGTGTCATGGCCAGGTCTATTTAAACTTCAGTCCTCCAACATTGGCATCGAAAAATAGAAATTCGATCTCAGACTGTAATGAAAAATTAGCATTTGACCC